AATTTTGTCATTTCAATAATGTTATGTATGGAATCATATATAAGATTTCCTTTTTTCACTCAGAATAATTCTCTAGAGATTCATCCATGTTGTTTTGTGCACAGTAGTTCATTCCTTTTTATTGCTGAGTCTCTCACAGTTTGTTCAACCACTCACTCATTGAAGGACTTATAAGTTGTTTTCGGTTTGGAGCTATTATAAATAAAGTTGCTATAAAAATTTGTGACCAGGTTTTTGTGTGTACATAGTTTCATTTCTTTGTGATAAATTCCCAGGAGGGCAATTGCTGAGTCATACAGTAGCTGCAGGTTTATTTTTAAAGAGAAAATGCCAAACTGTTTTCCAAGGTGGCCCTACCATTCTACGTACAATTCAAGCATTGTACGAGTGATACAATTTATCTCCATCCTGAGTATCTTGGTAGGTGTGGAGTTACAGCTCACTGTGCTTTCAATCTGCATTTCCCTGAGAGCTAGAGACGTTGAACATCTTTTGTGTGCTTGCCATCTATATATCTCCTCTGTGAACTGTATCATCATGTATTTACCCATTTTCCAATAAGATTCTTTTTTTGATGAATTTCGAGAGAACTTTATACATTCTAGGGTCCTGTGTGGACACTCATTCCATCTGCAAGTAAGAGCAGTTTTGTTACTTCTTTTCAGATCTGTGTCTTTATTTTGCATTCTTGTCTTATTGCATTGGCCAGACATTACAGCATATGCTGGATTAGAGTGGTGGCTGTGGGCATACCTACCTTGCTCCTGATCTTAGGGGAAGGCAGGCAGTGCTTATAAATAGTCTAAATACACCAAAAAATAGTCTAAATACACCAATCAAAAGAGATTGACAGAGTGAATTAAAAAAAAACATAGCCTGATTGTATGCTGTCTACAAGAAACCTACTTCACTTATAATGATATAGGCAGGTTGGAAGTAAAACGGTAGAAAAAGAAATATTATGTAAGCATTACCCAAAGACAAGTAGGAGTGGCTATGCTAGTATCAGATAAAGTAGAGTTCAAAGCAAATTACCAAAGACAGATAAAGAAATAATATAATGATGAAGGCATCAATGTATTAAGAAGACAAAATAATCCACTGTTATTCAGTTTCCATATGTTTGTAGATTCTCCTGTTGTCTTTTTGTTACTGATTTCTAGTTTGATACCACTATGGTCAGAGAACACACTTGCATCATTTTAATTCTTTTAACTGTATTGAGCTTTTTACTGGCCCAGGATATATACGGTTTATCTTGAGATCTGTTCTGTGGTTTGGGCACTTGTTAAAAAAACATGCATTCTACTGTTGCTGGGTGGTGCTGTCACTATCCAGCAGGGTGAAGTCCAGGCTCCCTTGTCAGCCTTCTCTGATTTCACCCTGGTGGGTCACAGGGGAGGGAGTGGGGTAGGGAACTACTGCACCCTGTAAAGGTGGGAGTCTAAGTTCCCTGCTTAGCCTTTTCTGGCACAGGTGGGGCCACAGTTATTTTCTGTGGTGTTTGACTGGAGTAGAATAGTTATTGTATAGAATAACCTATCTTAGCCTAGTAAGCCTAGAAAGCTGCCTCTTTCCTGGTCCTCTGATTAGAGGGAAAAGGTGTTTATTGGGACTTTCTTTGGTTTGCACCCACTGGTGTTTCCCAGTTGCCTGCTTCTTTAGCTACAAGTCTGGTATGCATGAGGCAAAAAGAGAATCCAGGGAATTCCCCACCATGGAAATCTTTGGGTCCCAGGGTCTCCAGTCGGTATGCCCTCTTCTTTCCACATTTCATGGTTTTATACAAAATGCTCAGAGTTTCTAGCTGTGCTCAGCAGTAGGAATTCGGAACATTACCTCTGTCCCATCTTCCTGGGAGCAGAAGTCAGTCTCTTCTGGTATCAACTACGTGAACGTGAGGCATCTTTGATCTCTAGACCTCATCTGCTTGATCTCTCTCTTCTATCTTTTTTAAAGGCCCCAAATCTGGCAGAACAATCCCTTCTCTTTGGGAGCTTACAGCTAAGGAGACTGAGCTGTTGCTTGGGTTACTGTAAGTTTGTTAAACTTTGTCATTCTAACCTTTCTTTTCTTTTTTCCCCTCTTTTGGAAAATGAAGGTTGAGCTTCCTGTGTTTGTTTAAAGTGGTTTGTTCTTGGAGTACGTCCTGGGTCCAGAATGCCAAATAACTTCTGGAACTGAGGTCTGGACACAGATTAAGGATAAAGTTAAGGCTGCTTAGGTGAAGCAGCCACAGCTGGCTGGACACAAGAGTGGGAAAATGAATGATCGCAACCTGGGGCAGAAGCTACGCTCATTAGCTCGGCCTGACACAACAAAGTCCAACAGACTTGATGTTAGGAAACGGAAGTTTATTGTCTCGCAGTTTGGAGATTAGAAGTCGGAGATCAAGATGTTGACAGGATTGGTTTTTTTTTGAGGCTGCTTCTCCTTGGCTTGCAGGTGGCCGTGTTGTCCTTGTGTCTTCACATGGTCCTTCCCTGGTGTGTGTCCTAATCTCCTTTTTTTAGAAGGACACCAGTCAGGTTGAATTAAGGCCCACCCTGATGACCTCGTTTAACTTTGATTCCCTCTTTAAAGACCTCCCAGCAGAATCACATTTAAGTCAGAGCTTCAACATACAAATTTTGGAGACAGGATTCATCTTACATCAAGACTCAGATGGGAAAGGTAAAAGTGGAAAACAAATAGGGTAGGATAAGCCTTATGTTGAGACTTCAGGATGGTCCATCTCAGCGGAGGAAGTACCTACTGATCTCACTAAGTGGTTTTCCAGCTGACTCTGATGTGACCTTTAACCCTTGTTTCTCTCCCAGAGAGCCCTGGCCTTTCCTAGGTCACATTGAACAGTTTTTTTAAATTCAAGGAGAAGTTAAGTCCCTAAGGAAGTTTTCCTAGGCACTAAATGCATGTCAAATCTATTTATCCTTTTACTTTTTATTGAGATATAGTATATATTATGCAATGAAGTGTACCAATCTGACGTGTGCTGCTCAGTGTTTAGACATAAGAACACCTCTGTAACCACCACTCAGACCGAGGCATAGTGTATGTCTGGCACATGGGTCCAGAAAGTTCCTGTTCTTCCTCCGGTCAATCCCTGCCTCTCCACCTGAAGGTTACTACTCTAGACACTTGTACTTGAATGCCATATAAGTGACATCATACAACATGTTTCTTGCTTCTTTTGCTCAACATAATGTCTGTGATATTCATCCATGCTTTTGCAAGTATGGGTAGTTTGTAACCTTTATTGCTGAGTAATGTCCATTACATGGATATAGCGCGATTTATTTATCATTCTTTTGTTAATGGACATGGGAGTTGTTTCCAACTGGGGATTATTATGAATAAAGCTTCTATAAACATTCTTATATATGTCTTTTGGCAGATTTATGCATGAATTGCTCTTGGGCATATAAATCTAGAAATAGGATTGCTGGGTCATATCAAAACCACTTATTAAATTTGATAAACAGATATAAGCACGTTGAGGTCACTTTTCTCTTTGTTTAGGCTATTTTTATTAGTGGTTCTATGGACTTCAGTCAGAAATATCACTTCTTTGTGATATCCAGTGACAGTATAAATTTAACTGAAGCTACAATAAATTATAAAAATATACTCACTTAAAAATGTATAGGTCAACATTTTACATTCGACCCAGAATGTGGGAAGGTGGGGATTATACCAAATAAAATAGAAGATATTCTGGAGACCTTTTGGTGGGATGTCTGTCCCATTTTGAAATAGAGCCGATTTCTTCCGAAGATTTTGTGGAAGGAAGATTTTATGTTCCAAAACACCCAGTAAGGATGTGGATCAGAGACAAATTCTCTTCCTTCGTGTGTTTTCTCCAGTGCACTGCTGCCATTCTGACTGTTTGAGAGAAACAGAGCTGATAACCCTTCAGCAAAATGACCTTCCTTTACCATCAGGAGTTCAATGGGAGCAGTTAGACTGAGGTGGGGTTCAGGCTCAGACAAGGGAGGGCTTAGGAGGTTGCTCCAAACCCCTAGCAGTTGTGCTCGTTGCTGAGCTGCGGAGGGAGGAACACCCGCAGCGGTAGTACTAAGGTTGGGCTCCTCCGACTGGTCACCAGATCCTGCTACTGACTTCTCCGGCAGGCCCAACGGTGTGCCCAGACACTAGTCACCTCCCCAGTTCTCAGGAGGCTGGCTGGGATCTGGGGTCCCCAAAGCTTCCTGGCCTGTCACTTCTGGCTGTGAGTGGCCACGTCTCTTCACTTTGTTCTCCAGTGTGAGGTTCAAGCACGACCATATTCTCTGTGCACCGTGACAGCAGAGAGGGTGGGGAGCACTGTAACAGGCTGTATTCCCTCCAGTTGAGTACAATCCACCCCAACACTGTATGGAAAGAGCTTGGGTTTTACTGACTCTCCTTTTCAGAGCCTCAGTGCATAAAACCTTCCCATCTGTTACACATTCTTCTATATAGTTCCCCACATCAAGTCATTTTTGTAAATAGGAGTGGCAGAGATAATCCTCATGCTCACCTCCTTTAGGGACAACCACCCGGGAGAACTGGGAGACCTGATAGACATAGATGGACAACTGCCTTGGAGGTCGTGAGAGGACCAGGGATCTAGTAACCACTGGCTGAGAGACTGCAAAGACCAGTGTGCACAGAGCAATCCTGTTCTTCAGGCTGATGATTTTGCCTCAAGCCATGAAACAAAGGGTACTGACCAGGGAGCATGTGGAGCTAAGGGCTCTTGAAGTTGGTCAGGAGTGAGTGATGAACAAGACCTGAGACCACAGGACCAGCTGATGCCCACCTCCCCTTTCTTGGGACAGATTGTTAGGACCACTGTGGGTATCTCTGCTTGGTGGGGATCCATTTGGGGGCAACCCACAGGACCTCTCTACCCCAGTGCCATTGACAATAGTCACCGATGTGCTCTCTTCTCTGTTGTAAATGATTGATTTCATTTGCTTCTGATGATTACATTTAAGTCATTTGGGGAAAAAAAGAGAGAGAGAGAGAGAAAGAGAGAGAGAGAGAGACAACTACCAATGGTGGTTTTGATAAAGTCCTGGAGTTGAGGTGAGTTCCTCCAGGAGCAAAGCAGCTCAGCGTTTTAACTTTATTTGCCTAACCTTGGTACAGAGCAAGGTATAAGTTCTCTCAGCTCCCACCAAATGTCTAGACTGGCTGAGGCCTGCTCTGCTGCTGCCATTGCAGATCCTGGCCCTCTGGGGGAACCGTAGCTGTTGTGTAACCGCTAGCAGCCCTCATCTGGGTCACTGACAAGCTCCAGGAAAATTCTTTTCAGTAGCACCACTCTGGTGTCCTGGCCTGGTCTCGTGTGCTCTAAGAGACGGGGTTCAATCTGCCTTCTCCTCTCCACCCCTCCCCACCCTCAGTGGGAGTAGCTAAGGAATTTTGGACGATATGGAACTTTCAGGGCTCAGCACAGTATGACTGGAAAGAGCATAGGTTTTGAAATCAGACTGACCCTTACTAGCTGTATAAATCATTACTTAAATTTTCTGGATGTGTGACTTCATCAGCCAAATGGAAGTTATAATAGGATCCATTTCTAGATCTTTCTGGGGCTTCTGAGACCAACTGTTTACAGCATTTAGCACAGAACCTGACACATAGTAGGCTTTCAATAATGTCACATTCTTATGTCACAGTTTCTCTGTACCCTCAGCAGAACCTGGAGAGTGAGAGAAGAGAGAGAACAAAAGATGGGCTATTAGGACTCTACCCAACCACCTGAGGGCAGCTCAGAATGGACCCAGAGCTCACATCCTGAGCCATCAGAGAGAGGAGTGGCTTCCTGCAGGAGCTCCAGATTGGCCCAATGGGAGCCTAAATCCAGTGGGGATAGACTAGAGCCAGGCCAGCTGAGGAAGCACAGGGACCAGCATTAGTCAGTGGCCTGTCACAATCACTAACATTCCCATCAAGGAGAGTGACTAAAGCCCCAGGACAGCACTGTGTACCCTCCTATCTAATGGAGCAATTGGCCTTCTGATAGAATCAACATTTGTACTTGGACATCCTTATAGCTCCTTGAAAATGATCACTCAAGGAGCACCCCTGTTTGGATAAAATTACAGCTTTTTATTCCTTTAGGTTGGATATTAAAACAAGAAATTATAAACCAGCAAACATCCAAGTAGTGACAGATCACACCAGCAAATCAATAAGAAAGTATACGGGAGGACCCAAGGTTCTTTGGAGATGGGCATAAATCTCCTCATTATCTCCTCAGGAAGCCACCCCACTGGACACCCCACAGTCTCAGGACAGTGGCTGCCTATTGCAAACAGGGAAGCTGGGGAAGGTGGGTAGCAAGGGAATAGGTTAGCAGGATGGGTAATGAGGAATTAGGAGATTCTTGAAGAACCCTAACCTCTTGCAACTCTGGACATGTGGGGGAACCCCAAAGGCAACTTGCTATGATCATGACTTTGGCGCCTGGTCCCACCATCACTTGTCTGGGGGCCTCTTGGGCCTCCTCATGGCCTCACTTCTTGGCCACTCTGTCCTGTGTCCAGGGCCTTGGTCTGGCTGCAGCAGTGGTTACAGTGCTGAACCAGGAATGTGTTTGCTTTTCAAATAATTCTTAGGACATAGCTTGAGCCTATATTTAAACCCTTTGAAATACTTAGGATAACATGAAAAGAAATCCATGGCGAGGCCTTCTGAAGTTAACATGGTCGAAAACAGCATACATACCAAACTCTCATTTCAAACCGTGGTAGCTAAGCCAAATGAAAAAACTGTTTTCAAATGTTTTGCATTAAAACTCATAAAACTGACATGTAAAAGCTGTCATAGAAATCTTGATAATGAGCTGAGGCCATTCTAGTACAGAAAGAAAGAAAAATCTTACCCTTTCAGGTGGAAAGATGGAACCTCCCAGTTTCTTGGTCCGCACGTCTGCACAGGAAGCTCCGCCCTAGGGAAGCCTTAGAAAAGTCACTGCGTGAACTTCAGGCTGAAGCCATCAGCACAGAGTGGAATGAGCCTGCTCCGAGAGAAGACGTGTGGCCCCAGAGGCCGGCATTCCGCCCAGGTCTCCATCACAGATGCTCAGCTGCAAATCTCCAGCATGGAGTTGCGGATAGAGGAGGAGGGTGGCGGTTTGAGGGAGGGAGTTTGAAATCCTTCAAGAGTCAGCTTAGACGTCATGTCTCTTGAGGGGCCTTGGTTGGCCCCTCAAACTGAATGTACCTCCTCTGGGTTCCCACGGCACTGTTTATCCCTACGGAAATATCACACCCTGTGCTTCCTTTTTAGAGTAAAGCAGTTTTTTAAAAGAGTAAAAATCTAAGATGAACACCCATGGACAAACACGTACACACACACAGAACTAAGGGCCATATGATTTAAACGGCCAGGCTGGCTGGCGAAGGTGGGGGAAGAGACCTTGGAGAGGGAGAGAGATTTGCCAGCCTAGCTGGGCGACCGCCTGGCCTGGACCCACTTCCTCTCATGACAACGTCCCTGGCCTGGACTGGGGCCTGTGCTCTGTGAATGTATGTTTCTTGAGGGTTTTCTCATTTGTAAAAAATATTTTTGAGGGCCTATATAACCTGAATCTGCCAATGAACACTGCAGGAAGGGTTCTGAGATTGAAAAGCAGTGAAAAATAGTAATGACTGAAGTCAGTACAAATTTTGCACTGAAAAAGGCAAAGTGATTATGACATTGACCTCGTACTTCACCTTGCCGAAGGACGGCACCGAGATGAAAGTGGAGTTGGAGGAACACGGAATCCTCTGCGCCAACATTCCTGGAGCGGAGATGGTGGAGAACAGCCCAGCAGCTGCGGCTGAGGGATGATCTGAGATGGAATCAGACATGGTAGTAAATTCAGATGCTTATTTTATAAGTAAACATTTTTCATACTTCTGTTTTCCGTAACTGATTTATCTGCCAGTTGTGATAATGTGGTGACCCAGTAAACAAGTGACATTTTCAACCCGCTCGAATGTACCTCAGCTCGTTGTTAATTTTTTACAAAAGTAGAAATTTCTAGTTAGATCTCTATAAACTGCCTGACACTTCTATGGATTGCAAAGCAGCACATTGTAGGTCAGAACCCAGGAATATCGTGATCGCTTGTGCGGGTGTGCATCGTCCCTCTGGGTGGCAGGCCCCTCAAGGGCCACTGCTTTTGCCAGGACCCTTGCACAGTGCCTGGCACACAGTAGGCCTTGGAACAAACCTGGTGAGTGGAAGAGAAACTCCAGTACCCTACAGGCAAGTGCCTTCTCCCGCAGATCGGCGCCAATTGAGATTTTTGTTGGCAGTGTTTTATAGATATCCTGGCTTGATGCTATTTTCCGTGAAGGTGTCCCTTAGTGAGTGAGGGAGCCCTGCACCCAGTTAAAAAGAATTATACTTCCTAGCCTCTCTTTCCATTGGGGAGGCTTGAAACTCAGCTTCAACCAGTGAGACGTAAGGAGAAATCTGCTGGAAATTTCTGGACAAGCTTTGCTTTCCAAATACACATATCGTCTCTCTCCTGGTACTTCCAGCTCTACCTGCCAGGAATAGAGATTCAAGATTGCAGCGCCAGTTATCCGAGATCTCATCCTTACCTCCCTAACCTTTACCTCCCTTACCACCAATGTTAGCACTGCAAATAAGGAAAATTAAGCCTCCTGGCTTGCTGAAGTCATTGTTTAACCAAGTTTTCTGTTACTTGGGGTTGAATATGCACCTTAACTGACCCAGGAGAGGGTGATGGTGAAGGAAGTCCCAGGCAGGGAGGAGCATAACCAATCAAAACACAGAGAAAGATTAGACAGAGAAGAACTGGGCCGGAAGAGGTAGATGGCTGGCAGGGTGCGTTTGAAGGAAGATGGGCATTTTATGTATGTCTGCAGCTCATTTGCATAAGTCCCTGGGCAGATGGGTGTCTCAGGGAGAAGGAGGTCACTGGTAGTTTAATTGACCGGGCAGTTCTACTCCTCGGAGTGAATGAACACTTTGTTCCTGGGCTTATCAGGCTATCGCCAATGGATTTAATTTGCCTGAATCCTTACCCAGGCATGATCACTGCTAGGGACATCCAGCATAGCCAGTTTTCTAATACAGTCTAATTCCAAACATATTACTATCACTCTGAATGTAACAATATGCTCTTAGTTTTTCTTCCACACAGCCCTGGCTGGGCTCCATCAGTCTTCCAGGAACTGAGGCCCAGTTGGGCAGTGGAAAACCCGGGGCTTGGAGACACACCCACTTGCCTAACCCAGCCCCATAGCTAGGCAGCTCAAGACTCCACCAAGCCACTTAAGCATTCAGCTGAAGATCCTCATCTGTCAAATGACAACAGGAACCCTGACTTCACTGGCTGGTCAGCAAAGAACCATGTGTCTCATGCATTCTCTGCCTCTCCTAACACTCTTTTCTCCCCTTGCTGCTCATACTAAATTTACTGTGAAACTTTCTTGTTCTTTTCAATCTGACATCAAATCAGGAATGACTGCTTTGAAACCCTTCCATACAGTCTCTGGTTGTGCCAGAACCGGAGACTGACTTCTCACACATCAGTGACTGAGTTTGGCACCCTTTCCCTGTGCTCCCTGGGTCCCCCCATCACTAGTCATCTAGCCCAGATCTAATGATTGCTATCGGTCAGCATCCCCTGTTCTGAGAGGTTCTTGAACTTAGGAGACTTGTATTTGTCATCTCTCTCCAGCCTCTAAACTGCTCTTGGCCCATAACAAATACCCAAAGATTTGTTGAATAAATGAGTGAACGTATGAATGAACTCCTTGAGTGATATACACATCCAGGTAGCACAGAGAGGGGCTAGTAAGGAGCTTTGTGCAGGCAAACGCTTCGATAACACTGTTTGGAATGAAAGCCCTCTGGTCCTCATGTCCCAGTTTTGGGAGCTCTCTCTAATTGAAATCAATTTATCATCACTTCTTTCTCTTTGTGTTTTGCAGTCAGGGCAGCACAGTAGCTCCCTAGGGTTATTCCACCCTGTGACTGTAATAGCTCTTATCACCCACAACCCTTCTCCCAGGCCGACTCAAGGCAGGGAAACTGGGACCCTTCTCATCAAAATAGCACAGGCTCGTTGTCTTAAAGAAAAAGTTGTCTTGGCTCATGAGGTTGAGCACAGCATGTTGATATTGAAGACATTATAATGGAAGCTTGCAATTTCACTTCTTAAAAATGATGACAGCCACCACAATGGACACTGACAAGCACCACTATTCTAAACACTTTCCATCATCAACTCGTCTCAATGACCTTATGAGGTAAGACAATTATCTCCATTTTACAGATGAGGAAACTGAGAGACAAAGAGGTGAAGAAACTTGCCTATAGTTGTTGTTAACTGGTGAAGCTGGGATTTGAATCAAGGTACTCTGATCTAGAACTGGAATTCTTAACCACTGAGCATACTAAAGTTTATCAGTATTTTGGTCAAAGAATCTGGTGACACTGAACTGATCCAAGGAAGTCTCAGTTTTGACTTACTGAATGAAACTCCTCAAAGGATCATTTCACACACACACCACTTCCCCATCTCCTAACTGGATCTCCAAGGTAGTACCAAAGCAAAGTTCCACACAGAACTAGTCTTTTTATAGCCCAGTCAATATTTTTCTATTTTATTTAGAAGAACATGTAATCTGGTTCCCGCCCTCCCTTCTTTGCACATTTCTTGCAACGCATCTCGCTTGCAGACAGAACAAACCCCGCCAGTCACGAACATGGTGCTGTGTGCACAGTTGGGCCAGAAATGAAAACAACTACTCCATAGTAACAATCCGTCATTCTGTCCATCTGCTGCCCTAGAGGGATCTTAAAATAGTTTCAATTCACCTTTAAAATCTGCTCCTCTATGAAGGGCTTGTAACACTTGGCGGCCCTGGAAGCCTGCCTAAGAAATAGGACTACTATTCCGACTACTGGTGTCCAGCTGTAGGCCTCTTTGGAAGGAAACAAGCCAACCATTCACGGGGCTGTTGTGAAACTTTCCTGCCCCACCAGTCCTCAGAGCCAAGGAGGACAATACCTGCAGGAGTGGCTTTCTGGATTTTGTTCTTCTTAATGGGAAGTTTGATTTCTTTTTATTGTTTTAATGGGTTCTCTTTTTCCTGTTTAATCTACTTCTGCTCCAACTCCCCAACACTATAAACTTCTCCTTTTTGTTTTTTCTTTCTTCAACTCTAAATTGGGGTATTGGGCATGAGTGGGAGTTTATAATCTAGAAATTCGAAGTCAGTTACAAGGGTGGCCATTTATAATTGGTCACCCAAGCCAGGGCACTTCTGAGAATGAGAGAAGTGCTATTCACAATTAGGGTAGAAGCAAGAGGAGGAGACTGGGACCTTCTCTGGCAGGCCCAGGCACATGGTCACCACCGGTTCAGCTCTGGCTCCAATGCATAGCACCAAAAGGGCATTCAAATGCTTACACGCAGCAGCTGGAGGTAACAGCATCACCCCTTCTTGGCTTTTGGCTGTAGTGTCTCATTGCATTCTAGGTCTTGAACAGAGCATGGTCAATGGGGATTAAAACAGCAGAAATTTCTCTTTTTCGCTCACAGCATCTTTAATCCATGTAGAATTTACCTGTACACGTTAATTTTTACAAATCATTGGAATGCCCTTACCGCAATGTAAAGGAGAAATATTAAAGTGATTTTAAAGAATAGCATGCATTTAAATGTGGAAATGCTGAGGCACAGCTGTACTAAAAGACAGGGTGAAGGGGAGCTTGCAGATCCTCGCCACCGCACCAGGGGTGCAGCATCTCTCGCGTGCAGCCCGCCGCAGCTGTGCTGAGCTGGCGACTCAGACTCCAGCAGAGGTGGAGACACTGGTATTGTGCTTTTTCAAAAGGTGAACAACTCTTGGTAGGTTTCCAAACCAAATAATGTACAGTCTTATGTGGACTTAAGTGGTAGCAGCATTCTGGGAAAACTCGGCGTACATTAAAACCACGCAAAGAAAATTACTTTGTGATGATATGTAGTGCAGAGCTAGCGTTTAAGATCACAGGATTATAAACATATTTTCACCTACATCTGATGGCACAGTTGGAGGTCATGTGGGGCTTTGGACAACTCTTTGCTATGTAGGATTTGTCTGCATATCGTAAAACGTCTGGTGTCTCAACCGATGAACATTCGTGGTGAGCCCTAATTATGGTGACAATGAAAAGTGTCCTCACAGATACTCAAATCACCCCCATAGCAGTTCTGCAACCCTGTGGCCTCACCACAGAGGACAGACTGGCCTGGGGCAGGCACCCTGGGTCGTTTTCTCTGCACTGGTGCCAGGAGCACCCTTTGTGCCTCACTCTGCAAGCTATAGGGCTGCTCTCATTTCTTTGGGGGCCAGGTGTGAATGGGTGGAGAAAAAGCACAGAAGGCACTGGTGGATTGCTTAAAATAAGTGCTCTCGCTAAATCTTGACAGTCAACGGTTCACCCTCTCTCTGCACATGTGGTGACTATTTCCCCCCTGACTATGTACATGCAAGAGACTGCGGTACTTTGGGCAGACGCAAGGCTAGCCGACATTTCTTTCCTACCCTCAGGGAGGTCGAAGTCTAAAACAGTCTTAGTTGGAGAAAAGTACCCAATGAAGATGGGTCTGAGGTCCTCAGTCTGGGGTACCAGGAATGTATTTCAATGGAGCCGGTCATTTCTTGAAACTGCACACAAGTCTGCATGTGTGTGTATGTGTGTGCCTGGTGTGTGTGTTGGGGGGTTGAGTTTTTTTTCTAGCTAGGGAGTGTATAGAGTTAGTTAGTCACATTCTCAAAGTACTCCAGGATGTGATGAAAGTTACAGATTATGTATCCACAGGGCAGGCCTGAGAAGTAGATGGTACCCTCTTTAACTGGTCTTCACAAGCTGCCTCTGCTCTAAATCTCTCCCTTACTCAGAGAGTTCTCTCACTGAAATTCTACCAGTAGAGATTCATTGCTAATGAATAGATGGTTAGCATGGGTCTCTCTGGGTATTGTCTTTCCAGCAACATTCAGACAATGTTTACTGAACTTCTGCTGAATGCCAGGCACTGGACTGAGGACCAGGGACCCAGCAGTGAACAGAACGGTGCTCTCAGTCCTGGAGGGGACGTGGAGGGGAAAGGGTTGCTAGGATGGGGGAAATACAGGATCTCACGGGAACACTGTGGGGCCACCTAATGTATTCCAGGGCAGCAGGGTCGTCCAAATCATCCTGGGCCAACAGCCCCCGCTGAGCTGACGTGGATGTGTGCATCAGCTGACTGTCCCGCATCAACAGAAATGTCCTGGTCAATGAGGACACTGCCTTGGGCCAGGGACTTGGCAGGGCCAGGTGGTGGGACAGCCTCCTCCAGCATGGGCCCCAGCTGTCTCACAGTTCCTCTTTGGTGAGCCTCTGGGTAAACAGGCCAGGCCTTGTAGGATGGCCCTGATAACATGACCTGAGTTCGGGTGCATATTTAAAATTCCAACATCTATGGGCTTTCGCTCTTTGTTGCAAGAGTGTTTGGAAATTAGACTGTGGACTGGCTGGGATTGGAGAATGAGGGGGAGGTGGTTTATAACCCGGAAACTATGTGCTGACTATAACCATGTTGAAAAGCAGTGTGGTTTCTCCGGGATTCATTCTGGAGCTAGTACATTGCAGTTTCCCCCTGGAACAGGGCCTTTGCTGAAAAAGAAAACATACCTTGGCCATGAAAACGCAAAATCACTCTCCCTTTGCAGCTCCAAACATTTCTCTATGCTGAGGGTTAACTTGTCCCAAGGCCATCCTGTCTCTGGAAGCCCCAAAGTAGCAAAATAGATTTTTTATGCCTTCCCCTCCTTTAGTAAAAAGGAACAGGAGTAATTGCCAATTCAGTAGGCTCCTTGCTCTTTTGTGCATTTTAAAGGCATTTGCTGTTTGGGATTTGGAAGAAAATCATGAGAAATGAGAATCTCTTGCTGCCTTGGCTGGAAGCAGGCTCATTGTTTGCAGAGAGAGCTGGTTTCCATGGTTTTGGACTATGGACAGCTGTAGTTTTTGTCAAGAGTAGTTTCTACTTGCAGTTGGATCTAATAAATAGCCAAGGTAGTCAGTCTTCCAACTGAAAAAGGTCTTGAAGTTATTTGAAAACATCCTAGTATGTTAGCATTCACAATCAACTGTCCATGTTTTTTAGTTATTAAAAATCATGCATTTCTCTCTGGCTAGGCCCTGTTTGGCCTGAATATCTGCTTTACAAAAAGCAGCCAGTCATGTTTCAGGATCAGGGTCCTAGTCTTAAAAGTAAACACAGTCCTTCCCTCTGAACTACAGGAGACTTGGGGGATGGTCTGGGAGAGGAGAGAGGGTCAAAAAGCTGCTGTATCTGAGGTCTGAGCCATAGCCATGGGAGTGGCCTGTAAAGGCCATTATGGCCGTAGGGAGCCCTTGTGGCTTCTTCGACCCCAAGGTACTAAAGGCGGTGCCTGAGCAGGGCCCGTCCTCACAGGAACCACCTGGCCCCTTGCCAGCCAACCATGTGGAAACTGCTTATTTTTACTTCTGTCACTAAAACAGGACAAAGGAAACACTTTTGCTTCTTCTTCTCATGACATGTAAAGAAGAACAAATGTGCTAAAAAGAAAAAAAATTTGTTTGGTTTTTTGGGGACACTGGCCTGGAATGAAAGAGGATCAGGTAATGCATTTAGCGATTTCCATGGTGAGTAGCAGTAGCAAAACAGTAGTTTATAAGTGTTCCCCATATCTTGAACAGCAGGCTCAGTTTAGCGGATTGGACCCAACACCTAGGTCTCACTGCCATGTAGAAAAGACATGATGTCCTGCCCTGGTTAATGTGGCTCAGTGGACTGCGTGCGGGCCTGCTAACCAAAGGGTCGCCGGTTTGATTCCCAGTCTAGGGCACATACCTGTGTTGCGGGCCAGGTCCCTCAGTAGGGTGCACACAAGAGGCAACCACACATTGATGTTTCTTTCCATCTTGTTCTCCCTCCCTTCCGCTCTCTCTAAAAATAAAAACATAAATAAATTAATTTTTAAAAAGAATACGTGATGTTCTTACAGCCCTTTGGCAAAAGCTTGCACACTGCACAGGGATGGACTATGTGGCTACTACCATTAAAGCTGCTAATATAGTCGTGTATTTTTTATAGGGTATAATTGACCATTTCTCTGTTTCCTGAATGAATGGCAGGAAGACATTCATTCTGGGTCATTTTTATTTTGTTGTCTTCCTTGTCATTTGATCCTTGTCATTTGATTTTTCTTCTGTTTAGATCTCGCCTACCTAACTGTTACCTAACAGAGACCACTGGATCACTGAGTTTGCCTGTGTATTCTCTTTCCCTACTAAGAATGGGTTTCCGAGTCTCACACAGGAAAACAACTGGGCCTATGTTTCAAATGACATTTCAGTCCAACACAGCCAGAGATAACCTTTTCCACATCCCTTCCTCTTCTTTAACCATCTTGATTGCTGAGGGTTAGGGATAGTTTGAAGATGACTTAAAAATAAATTTACTGCCAAATGTATAAAATGCAGAATGGGATCCTTTGGATGCATTAGCTAAAATTAGATTAATGGTGATTTAGAGTAGAGCTTGGGAAGTTAAGGAAAAAATGATACTTTAATCTGGATGTAAGCATTGCAACATCTCATTTTTTGAATACGGTGTCCATCCCCTTGGCAAGAACAGGATTTCTCTCCTCTGAATTTTGAATTTTCTTACTCTCAACTGAGTAAAGACTTGTCTAAGGTGCCATTATTTTTTGTTCCTTGGTGATTAACTGAAACTAATAATAATAATCATCATTTCCTCTCAAGTAACAGAGCACCTAACCTGTTAGAGCTGGGCAGGTATGGCCAGGAAGTTTGCCTCGTACTAGGCAGAAGGAGAAATGCAAAAGTATGTCCTCGAGGGTGAACGCCCAGAGACCCGAGGCCCGAGTCCAACCTTGCTTTCCCCCAGCCTTTGTAGCTTAGTTGACAAATGGGAACCAACATCAGGAACCTTCCTCTGAATTCAGTTCAGTCCTGTAACAAGATACCAAGTCACTTTCTTAACTGCACTTTCAGGTCATCAATACTATTTTTTAAAGATTTTATTTATTTATCTTGAGAGGGGAAGGGAAGGAGAGAGGGAGAGAAATATCAATGTATGGTTGCCTCTCATGCATCCCCTGCTGGGAACTGGCCTGCAACCCAGGCATGTGCCCTGACTGGGAATCGAACTGCAATCCTTTAGTTCCCAGGCTCGCGCTCAATCCTCTGAGCTACACCAGCCAGGGCCAATACTATTTTTTTTTTAAATCACTGAACATTCTGAGGTAGCACTTTAGAATGAGTATTTTTTAACATGGCTTCCAAAAGAAAATTGTCATTTATCACAAATCTCAATAAAATGTTTCTCTCTCTGTGGTCTACTGCTTAATATGTGTCAGAAAGGCGTGCTGATGGCAGAAGGACCCAGGACAGGGGAGGGGAGTGGAGGAGAGAAGGGAAAAGGTGAGAAGAGAGGAGAAACAGTGAGTTTCTGCATATGGGACTGCTCATTAAAAAGCACCTTCTGAAACACGCTTTGAGATGAAAATTGGTTTTAGTGAACTCCCTTATTCTAATAGTGTCTTCTATACTTGAGGATGTTAAGTTCAAAGAGATAATGATACATGGGATTTAGAATCAGAAGACCTGGATTTGAATCCCAACTCTGCTTCTCTCGAAGTAATTGGGACTCACCTTTTTAGCCTGGATGTGCACATGTGTAAAATGAATAACGTCTTCCCCCCAGAATTACTGTGAAGACTCAACGAGACAGTACACATTGAAAAATGCTAGTTTTTATCATGTCTAGATTTGGAACTCTTAAGAGTTTCATTGCTTTAAAAAAACTTACCAGTATCTAACACAAATCACTTCCATAGAACAAGAACAGAAATTTTTTAATGCATGATCAACTGCACAGAGACTGTCTTGTTTAATACCTTGAAATGAATAAGCAAAGATGAAGTAATAGTTTGAAAATCTGTACTATGAATCATATTTCTGTAGGATGTGAAAAAAATTAACATTTAATTACTACACATTTAGTGGATGTCTCCTAATGTTAGGCACCAAGTACCCCTGGGAAGGGCACTGAGGAAATGTGACCTGCAAGAGTTCATGGGGTAGTTGGGGAAACCAGACAAGAACTATTATGAGACAAGCTATTCTGAGACCAGTGGAGCCGAGTAGGTGCTATTGAAATGAATAGCTAGAATGCTTCTTTTCTCAGTCATTTGGGATCAGTGGGAGTTTATTATTTGTAATCCTTGAACTCTTCATACTGAAGAAGGGCAAAGGCGTCTGGGTAATTGAGATCCTCAAGTCCAACAGCACATAGCTGAATACACACTAGTCAGGAAACTGAAGAATCTCTTTTGAACTTTAATTTGAATGTGTTTAGTTCCTAAAATCTCAACAAATAGTGCTTCCTTGTAGCTGAAGGTCTGCCATGGATGCTCCTTCTCTTATTTTCCATGCACCCTTTAGTCAAGTGCTATTGAGGGTTGACACAGCGTGGAGGGAAGGGCAGGAGAAACAGTGTCCCGGAGGGTCTTAAGCCTGGGCATTGTCTCCTGTTTAATTGAGAGCCGAAAGGACAGTGAGAGTGTCCCTCTCCAGAAGTGTAGGCAGATGTGAGGATGTGCAGGAAATGTGACTAGCACAGCACTGCCTTAAGCAAGGAGGGAAAAACACACAGTGCCCAGCATGCTGTAAGCCCCCTCAGCACTGGAAACTGGTGTCCCTGCTCAGAGCACCAGCCAGTCTGGTCTGGATGCTGTATTTATGTACATCCATAGACAGCGGGCACCCACCCTTATCAACTACACTTCGCCTACCTAGGAACAATAGGAAACTTGCATCATCTCACAAAACATTTCCAAGCATAGGGTCATTGACTCATGCTCCAAGATGATTTCATAAATGTCAGAACAAATTGTTTTTTCTTATATTGACTTAAAAATCCAAATACTGTAATTTCCATGGAAGTGTCATATCAAGTTAAGTCAGAGTAGCCTTCCTGTACAGTATCATCTTCCTTATATGGTGACAGTGATCGGTAATGTGTAGATTTATTGAGTCCTGGACCCCAATTCCTCCTTAACTAATGGGGATGTGGGCAACCTGGTGTCTGTAGAGCTAATGTTCATCCTTTAAAATTTCTTAGCGACCAGCTTTGATAGATACAGCTCAAGAAAATACTTAGGTTTTCACTTAGATTCTTGCTTGAGGATGTCTACTTAATGTTATTTAAATTATAAAAGTTATGTACATTCGCATATAGATATATACACATACGTACATAAAATATACATGTATGTATGCATATGCACATATAATGTATATATATAGCCAATAGGTATACATAGACATATAAGAGTGTACACACACACACACATGCACACATAAAGTGCTTTGCCATTGAGTGACTGATGTGACTGTTAGTCAAAGTAGAAAGTTATATAACCCTAGGTCATTTTTCAGGTTGAAAATTAGACTTCATGAGTCCTGGTGGTGTTAAGATTTATTTCAGATTACTTGGATCAGGGGTGCCAGTCTGCACACCAGCTCCCTGGCAGTTACATTATTGGGATGTTGACCTCTTTCCAGGAATTGCTCAAAAAGTACACAAAAAAGCAGAGTGAGCTGACCTTAAAAAATTAGATGAAAGAGCCCTGGCTGGTGTAGCTCAGTGGATTGAGCGCGGGCCTGCGAACCAGACAATCGCGGTTCGAATCCCAGTCAGGGCACATACAGGGGTTGCAGGCTGGTTCACTGCAGGCCAGTTCCCAGCAGGGGAGGCACAAAAGGCAACCACACATTGATGTTTCTCTCCCTCTCTCCTTCCCTTCCCATCTAAAGATAAAAAAAAATGGATGAAAGAAATAGTCGTTTTCAACTTAAGTACACTGCTGCTTAACTATTAAGAAAATCTACATTTCCAGTTGCAAAATGCTCGGTGACCTTCAGAAGTATGCTTCTCCCTTCTCCCCCAACTAGACAGTAAAACTCCATTTGCTGAAGTTGGAATGCACAAGTATTTTATTTACTTGTCATGTGACCAGAGTCATTGCTTGGGCTTGTTCTGTGGTATAACACAGAAAGGTTTTTCTAAAAAAAATTTCTGGCCTCTGTAGAAGCTCTGCTATTAACTTATTGATTTTTTGTGAAACAGAAATTCACTTCTACATCCCCCCTGCCTTCCCTGCAGACATAAATCGGATGAAGCAGCTGACTTTTGGAACAAAGAAGATCAGCTGAAATTCTAGATGATTTGTAGTTAGTCCCAGTTTCAGTTAACCTTTTCCATTGCAGAATAGTTTAGGTTATCATCTTAGTAGCTAAACACACAGTATTTATCTTTAGTTTAACAAAGATTCTAATAAAGTCACTTCCTGACAATTAGGTGGGTTCCCTAGTTTACCAAACTATTGTATAATACTGTTGAAAGACAACTCTCAGCTCATTCGTGGGTGTTTTATACTTCAAGTGCTTGAAGAGCTCTACATACACTTTTACCCACTTTTCACTCATTCACTCATTCATGCATGCATTCATTCATTCACTCATTCATGCATTCACTCATTCATGCAGTGTGTCAGATTTTACCGCTGGAGCTTTTATGATACACGTCACTTATAAGTCCTGCCGTTTCTAAAATGCTGTAGGTTGAAGGTTAGTCATTCTTTTCACAATTAGTGAGTTTACCATTCTTTCCTTTGTACTTCCCCAAGCTCCAGCTGACTTTCTTTGAAGGGAAGTAGTCAAGGCCCCACTTGGCTTTTCACACCTCCCACTCTCCTTCATCCATACCACAAGTTCTCCAAGGTTAGGACTACTTAGAGGACCTTTTGCTGGCAGTGACACAGACATGTGGGTGGGGGAAACTCTGATTCGAAGAAATTATCAAACTTTGTTGTTGGTGCTGAATTTACCAAGAGGGGTTGACAAGAGAAGAGGGACATGCCCAAGAAGAGAGAAAGGAGAAAACCAAGAACAACTTCGAAGTAAAAGGAGAGAAGCACTTTAGCCCCACTGCCCTGGAGGGGCCCCTTGGGGCTGAAGGAAACGCAGCCTCTTTTCCAGCCCATTTGTTCAGGGCCTGCCCATGAGACCCCAGCCACAGGTTCATACTAGGCATTGGGACCTCGCCTGCATCTTGGGTTGGCTGTTCACATCTAGCTTCCTTCTTTGGGCAAATACAATTTATGTCTGCTAAATAAAAACATGTTGCATTTTCTTTCCATGGTTTGGAATGTTACCAAAACCGGGGAAAAAATCCCATAAATCTCTGCTCATCCAGATCTTTCTTGTTCTGAAGAGAAGCCCAGCATGAGTTCCCCGTCCGTGGCACGATCTCCTCCAGCTCCTCCAGCCCACATCGACTTCGCCCTTTGAGCCCCTACAGATGTGAGACCTGGACCAGGAAATCTTGCATTGATCAGCCTCCCCTACAAAGGGTGTGTGGAGCCAGGAAATCCCAGGACTTGGGGTGGGGGGTGGGGCCAGCTCTGCTCCCTCACAGCTTGGTCAGGTTGTGCTATGTTTATTTTCTCATCTGCAATCACTGAAAACACAGGCTAAATATGTTTCAGTTGACTCCTTGCTAAGACTTCAAATTCATGCATTACTTTCTCATTCTTTTCGGTTTCAAGTCACAAGAACAAAAATTGTTTCATATTTTGTTTCCTCTTCGTATGGCATCAGAGAGCTGGGCGTTTAGTGTTTCATCTACTCATTTATTTAAAGAGCACTCACTGAACCTTTGCTGTACACCAGGTGCTACATTGGATGTGGTATGACTGCTAATTGGGATACATACGCTGCTTTTCTTCAGAGCCATCCATCAGTGATTCTTGCACTCTAGTCGGCATCAGTCTATCCCAGAGGCTTGTTCAAACACAGCTCACTGTACTGCCCATGCAGACTTTCTTACTGATAGGTCTGCAGCCCCTGCCTTCCCCTCCCTCCCCACCCCATCCATCCAGTTTGCATTTATGTTTCTAACAGGTTGCCAGGTGATGCCGATGCCATAGGTGGGGCAGCCGCATCTTGAGAACTGGTTTATTCTCATAGCAGTTAGTGACAGTGCTGTTTTCTCCAGATGCTATTACCTTAACAGCTAGACTCCCCTTAAGAAAGAATCCACCTTTGTTTGAAAAAAAAATGCCTTGATGAACCTGCTTGGATGGGGTGAGACCCTTTGGATGTCAGCCAGCACCGAGATATGAGGACGAGGACGGGGAAGTCACTCCTCAGGAGACAATGTGAGGAATTTGTGGGGTTTGCTTCTGAAGGGGAGGGGGGAGAAGGCAGGAGAAAAAGGAGCAGGTGGGGTAGGGAGCCAGAAGTTCCTCTCTGAGCTTTCGGGCTGTGTGCTGGAAAACCTGTCTTTGTTCCCCTTCTACCCTCTGCAACACAGAGAAGCAGGGAGCCCAGGAGAAGAGGTCACGAGGGGACAGAGCTCTCTGGAAAGCACGAGAAGCCGGCAGAGGGTCTGCAGGCTTCGAGGGTGCAGAACTGGGGTCTGCAGCCACGCTGGATCCCTGTTGCTTCGGGTTTCAAGGGGCGAGAGACCCTTGGGGGCATCCGATTACTCCACGGCCAAAAGCCAAGTTTTCCATGAGGTCTTGAATACCTAGACAAGCATTTATTTTATTTCGTGCGTTTTTATTTTAAACTTTCAGCCATTAAAGAAAGAATAAAGTTGGAGTTCCATCAATATTACTGTAATCACAGTGATGCCATATTGTATGCGTGCTATGAACGTTTTTCAGAATTTAGTGTTCTTTGATCTTTACCACAGTCTTGTCTAAGAGAAGGGCCTGGTATTAGTTTTATCTTCCTATTGGGAAACTGAGGCACAAGGGGACATGAACAATAAAGGTGCAGTTCAGAGCGAAGTTCTCCTGACAGCTGGTCCAGGGGCCTTTCTATCCCCAAGGTCACCTGGCGGGGGGGAGGGCCCTTGTTCTCCGTGTTCTGTTTTCCTCTTTAGTGATGGAGCTCCAGAGTTCAGTTCCGACTCTGAGCAAACCAGCCTTTAGAACAGCATTTCAGAACGTCCCAGTGAGGAGGTTAAGTCCGTTTGTCCTTCACATTTGACTCTCACATCCAGAGCGTTAGCTTTTTCCTTTCAAGTCTGCATGTCATTTGTCTGCAGGAGGGAGGGAGGGAGGAGGGAGATCACACTTAACTCTCCTTACATTTTACAGCCACATGTTACCCTCTGATATAAATCTTGTAGCTAAAAAGGCCTACAGAATCTAAGAAGCAGTTCATGGCCAAATCCTCTATTTTTTGGCAGCCCTTGCTCCATCTGTCTTTATGGTCGACAAACACATCAATTTCATTCTAAATCAAAATGATGGGTTTCATAGCAGCTGTTGGGGGCTTCCAGTGCTGGCCCAGGAATTCGGGGTGGGCAGGACCCCGAGGCCTCCCCCATGCTAGCCGTCTCTTCAGGAAACAGCTTCAGTCAGGTGAGGTCAGGTTTAAATGAGACTTTCTAATGGGGAAGGAGACGAGATTCCACAAAACCCAGGCTGAGGGGCACTTGTGGCCCAGAAGAGGGGTAGTTTCGTGTTGGGGGCGGGGCTCTTCCTTTCTGCCCGGACCCCAACACTCACACACACAGACAAAGGAGGGCCAACAGGCTTCGTCCAAGGATGACGGCAGCTGCCGTTCATTCAGCCCTGCTGTGCCCTGCTCATTTCCTTCTCACGACTGTCCTTGGGCAACCATCCCTGGGAACTCAAAGCAACACCTGCTCGAGTCAGTTAGTAGGAGGTAGAGTCGGTGTTCGAACTTGTGCTATGATGGAGCCCATATTCTACAGCAGTCCATCCACTGCTTCCAAAGCCTGCCCGTGAGAAAATAAAATTCAGTGACTTTTTCCGAAAATATAAATGCATGTCATTTTCATCTAATGATTGTGTTCTCAGTGTTTTGGGGTTAAACTGTCCGCTCTTTTCTCAGAATCATGGCGATGGGAGATAGTTCCCTGACACCCCTGCTTCCTTCCTCATTTTCTTCTCCTCTGCCTCCTTCTTCTGGTTTTCACCGAAGCAAGGAGAAAAAAAGCACTCCCTGACAATTCTATTTTGGTTCCATGTTTCCATTAAAGTTTTTTCCTTGGTTCATAAATTCCAAAGGTCTGGGAGCTCTGCTTTAAATGAAGTAACTCATCCTAGCTGGGGACCAGCACGGCTCCTGGAGTCCGGGCTGCAGCCATGGCCCAGAAAACGTGCTGAAAAGGTGATTGAGGATTCACTGACACAGCATATTTGGTTCAAGTTTGATGCTAAACGTTAACTAGGACTCCTAGGGACATCTCAGTGAAAGGTCATTTCTCCTTTGGGCTGAAGCCTCTTATCTCTTTAAGATCTCCATTTCCTTCCTGGATTCTCCATGTAGCTGCTTTTCTGAATCGCTAGAATGGGCAAGTCAGTTAATATTCTCTGAAACTATTTTTATTCTATTTTATGCACAATATTTTTCTTTATGTGATGAAGCCTGACTCTAGATTTCTTCTATTTCAAGTGTTCTAAGGATTTGTACCAACAGGATGGGGCCGTGGTCAATTCGACAGTGCCGTCAGCCTGGAATGAAGCCCTGAAAGTCCCGGACAGGCTGAGAAGTCTGCAGCTTGATCAGCGCCCTCCCCCTTGCTGGCTTCACATACCAGTGTGTTAATCAGCCGTGGGGCAGAGCTGCAGGTGACTCTTCTCTTCTTTTGAACGTCATGATCCACAGACTCGGGCCAGCTGCGAACGGTCAGCTCCCTGAGCCTCGGAGCTATGTCTTCAAACGCAGCTCCAGCTCCGTGGGCGCCCTCCCACCTTCAGGCCTCTCCCCAGAGGGTCTGGGCTCGAAGTCTCTGAGCTCGAAGTCCTTTAATTTCCTTCATGGACGTAGTAAATCATTCCACACACCTCGGGGCAGAGGAAAAGCCTGCTTTACTAGAGCTACCTGCTTGGTTCTTTCAGAGTAAGATTCCCATACTGAATGATTTTTCTCTATTCATTTTTCCTTTTTATGTTTTTTAAAGGTTTAAGTAAAATACTCATGAAGCACCTCTTAAATTAACTACGTGACAATAAGAAACACGGGTAAAACACTTCTCTTTTCACCCTGAGAAGCTTAAAAGAATTTTGTAATTGAGAAATGGAGTTTCCCATTTCTGAAGGAAATGACCATACGCGATGGACACCTAAAAATACGACAAATCAGAGACTGGATTTGAATGAATGGAGGCATTGAGGACACGGAGCCAGCAGGTGGAGAGGTGCTGACCTGACCTGGAACGCGCTATTCAAGGGGCAGCTTGGGCCTGCTCCTGCTCCAGGGCTCCCCCTGGCTAACGCGGAGGGCAGACGCCAGGAGCCTCCACTGCGTCCGTTGTGTCCACAGCGCCAGTGCAGCGTGCAAGGGCATCCCAGTGGAGCACGCCAATGAGAAGGAAAACAAAGGCTAAGGTGAAAAGGTGTGCCTTGGGACAGAGAAAACGACTTCTGAAAAGAGGCAGAACTAGGCTGCACTAAGGGAAACGGAACGTTTGCCACTGTGGAGTAAGTTTAGCGGGGGCACAGTCCCTGGAGGCTCTGAAGGGGATGACCCGCTCACGGTTTATACCATCCACCTCGGGGAGGAGACGTGATAGTTGGCTGTTTCGTGTAATTTACGTTGGTGGAACTTGAGAATTGGCCTGAAATTTTCACTTTTGGTTTTGTTATTTGAATGATCTTGCCCCGAAGACACGGCTCCAAGCTCTGTGAGCAGGAGCCCTAGTAATTCAGACAGTGAAATAGCTCTAGTTTTGCTAAACTGTTTAGGTCAGTTCTATCCATACCTCTGCAATTCACCATCAATATCCAGGACGCGATCCTTGGAGCTTCTATTCTTCCTCCGAAGGGAGCTGATCTCAGATGCTGAGCACTGGTGTGGCTCAGCCACACTGCGGATCTGGCTTGGACATCAGGGGTTTGAATTCATGCATTTGCAAGTTACGGTGTAACATGTGTTGTGAACCTTTATGTCACTTGAGACTAGTTGAAAGTAAAATATTAAATATGCAGCAGCTATGAGTCTACCCTTGTTTATGAGGAAGTGCTTTGAAAACTTGAATACCACAACTCTTGGTCACAGACCACTTTGAGAATCTGGTACAAATGTGGAATGCTTCCCACACAGAAGGCATACTAATAAGATTTTTGCATTTAAATTCAAGAAAGTCACAGATCCTTTGATGTGTCATAGATCTCCTGACCTAAAGGGACCTGTAAATATAAAATGTGATTATTTAAGAGTATTCTTTTTACATTTATGTGCACATCAGGATGTAGAATTGTATATTTAACACCATCTCAGTGGCACACCATGTATAGAAAAAGCTGGGAGGTGTAAATATTTACATTTACTAAAATGTAAATGTTTGGGTGATGAGATTGCAACAGATTTTTATTTTCTGGATTGGGTTATATTGTTCCCATTTGAAAAGATTTCACCAGTTTATTTTCACAAAAGTGGCTGCTTCTTTTGATTGATTATGGAAATACTGGGCAGAACTTTAAAAAGCAAATCTCAGAGGACACTTTAGTGGACCCTACTTAGGGCAGCAGTTTCATTCACGATATTCACCAGTCTCTGGGATCATGACGTTCATACCATGAGAACCTTCCTCCTGGCTTTCTAATTGGCTCAGGAGTGGGGGCCTGACTCAGTTAAACCAGTGAGTGTCTTTCCCCAAGATTTTTCTGCACTGTAGCCAGGAGCCAGTTCCCCTGTGGTGACAGAAGCTGTGAGTGAGGTCTGGGGGTGGGGGTGGGGGTGGGGGGCGTGTGTCACACTTCCTGCTGATCTGTACTCAGAGAGACACCAGACAATTTCTGGTTCCCATTGTCCTTGAGCCCAGCTGCACCCTAGTCCTTCCTGCATCTTCCTATTTCAGTTCTTCCTTTGATTTTATACCTTTCACCCTTCCAACAAATTTCCTTTTTGTCTGAACAAGTTAGAGCTGGGTTTCTGACACGTGAAACTAACAAGTCCACACAATTACAAAAGTATATTTCTAAGTACTCAAGGATAAAACTTGACCCCAGTTGTGAAACAAATGAAATCAATATTTCTTGACACAGGAAGTGGCTGGCTCTATGCAGGACAGAGGGAATTTAAAAAGTAGAGACAGATCAGGATTATTGGTTCAGATCTTTAGATTGTTCTGTCATTTAGGAGGCAGAACTTGTCTTCTTGGCTCTATGTAGAAACAGGCAATAATGGAATTATTCAAACCCTGATTATGACCATGCAAATTATAAGTCTCTTCTCTCATTTACCAATGTGATGTTTGGGATAGTAAAGTTACAAACGAATGAAAGATAAATACATTTTCCAACTCAATGAGCTAGAAAATAATCTCTGCAATTGTTTGGCAATCTGAAAGTATCTGAACTCTGCTAGAAAGAAAAATTTCAGCAAACTGGTAGCGATGGTTTCCATGAATAATCACCTTACATGTGATAGCCAATTCCATTTCAACAAGTGTTTAAGTATAATGAAAGTTGTTAGAAATTCTAGGACATGGCTCAATTATTCTAGAAAGATTTGACATAGTGAAATTTTAGAACAACCTTCTTAATTAAAACATAACTCATGCAAGTGAGAAGCTCTAACTTCAAATCCAGTCCTATTTGTATCCCTACTGAAAGTGCGGAAAATTATATTTTCCACTGGCAAACGTGTGCTTTTATTAAGTATGGAAATCGCCCGCCCTGGTTGGTGTGGTAAGCAGGTCACAGTGGAGACAGTGCTGTCTTTGGGAGCTGGTTAGACTGGCACAGCCGAAGAGAAGGGTTTTGAGCCTACATCCACATTGACTGTAAGATAATGAGACTAATTTAAATTTTTTAAAAAAATCAACATATGGACTTCTGCCAAGATGGAGGCATAGCTGGAGATGCCGTGCTTCCTCACACAACCAAATTTAGAGACAACTAAATAATAGCAACAGAAAACACAGCCAGAACACAGAAAATTGAACTTTTCGGAAGTCTGATAACAACAAATTCTTCAGCCTGACCGGTAAGAGGGGCAAAATCAGCAGCTGGAGGAGCGGGGTTGCACAGGAGGACTTGGTCAGACGGACTCAGGCATGCGGAACCCAGGCGCAGGGTTGGACCCAGTGAGCAACCCAGTGAGTGACCTCGGGGAAACAGCGAGGGAGCAGGGCTGCGGGTTGACTGTGGTCACGCATTTGTGTGTGGATAGACAAGTGAGGGAGTGGGCGATTGGACGAGAGCCAGCAGCCCCAGCGGTGAGCAGCTGCACAGGGTGCCGCCATTTCCCTGCTCCGACCCCGCCTCCACATACAACGTCATAATCCAGTGACCTAAGTGGCCCTGCCCCGGTGAATAATCTAAGGCTCTGCTCTTCACCAAGCTGCGTGAAACGGCAGAGGGGGCCGCCATTTCCCCGCTCTGACCCCGCCTCCACATAGAGTCACAACCCAGTGACCTGGGAGTCCAAGGCTCCACTCCTCAGACTTAACGGGTGCAAACAGACCAAAAATGGCTCAAGAAGATCTCAAAGCCCCAGAGCCTATAAATCTAAGTGATGAAGAAATAGCAAAACTCTCAGATGCACAGTTTAAAACACTGGTGATCAGGATCCCCACAGAACTGGTTGATTATAGCCACAAATTAGACAAACATATGAAGACGAAACTACTTGAAATGAATGGAATTTCACAGGAAACCAATAGCGATGAAAAGGAAACTGGGACTCAAATCAATGGAGTGGACCAGAAGAAAGCAAATAATGGCCAAACGGAAAAGAGTCAAGAAGCAAGAATTCAAAAAAATGAGGATAGGCTTAGGAACCTCCAGGACATCTTTAAACGCTCCAACATCCGAATTATAGGGGTACCAGAAGGGGAAGAGGAACAGCCATGAGTGGAAAACTTATTTGAACAAATAATAAAGGAGAACTTCCCCAATCTGGCAAAGGAAATTGACTTCCAGGAAATCCAGGAAGCTCGGAGAGTTCCCAAGAAGTTGGGTCCAAGATGGAACACACCAAGGCACATCATCATTACATTAGCAAAGATTAAAATGAAGGAGAGGATCCTGGAAGCAGCAAGAGATAAGGGGACAGTCACCTACCAAGGACTTCCCATCAGACTGTCAGCAGATTTCTCAAAAGAGACCTTACAGGCAAGAAGGGGCTGGAAAGAAGTATTCCAAGTCATGAAATCCAAAGACCTAAAACCAAGATTGCTCTATCCAGCAAAGCTTTCATTTAGAATGGAAGGGCAGATAAAGTGCTTCTCAGATAAGATCAAATTCAAGGAGTTCATCATCACCAAGCCCTTATTATATGAAATGTTAAAGGGACTTATCTAAGAAAAAGAAGTTAAAGAAACATGAACAGTGAAAGGACAACATACTCACAGTTATTAACAACCACACCTAAAACAAAAGCAAACTAAAAGGACAGCTAGATCAGGAGTGGAAACATAGAAATGAAGATCTCAAGGAGGGTTAGCAACAGGGGAGTGGGAGGAGGAGAAGGGGGGAGAAGGTATAGAAAATAAGTAGCATAGACAGTAGATAGAAAATAGATGGGGGGGCAAGAATAGTATGGGAAATATAGAATCTAAAGAACTTGAGACACATGGTCATAAACTAAGGGGGGTGATGGTGGGGATGGGGGGTAGGGTGGAGGGGAATGAAGGGGGAATAGAACAACTGTAACAGCATAATCAATAAAAAAATAAATTAAAAAATAAATAAATCAACATATGGTAACCTATGTACTCTAATTCAAGTAAAAGCTATGCTTATGTGTCTTGGAGGT